AGCTTCGGAGATACCTTAGAGCGTGCCCGGTTGGAAGCCCTAAAATTATCGCCTGAAGGAACACGTATCGATTATGCTGGTGAAAGCCGTCGGTATGTTGCAGAACAAGCAAACGTTTATCTGATTTATGGGCTTGCGGTTGTCTTCATTTTCCTTGTTCTTGCGGCCCAGTATGAAAGTTACATCGATCCTTTAATTATTCTATCTAGTATTCCTTTATCGATTACGGGAGGACTGCTGTTTTTATGGATTGCAGGAGGAACCATGAACCTCTTTAGCCAGATTGGTTTGGTGACCCTTATTGGCCTGATTACCAAACATGGTATTTTGATTGTGGACTTTGCAAACTCCTTACGAAGTGAGGGATTGGAGAAGTTGGAAGCCGTTATCGAAGCTTCAAAAATGCGTCTGCGGCCTATTTTAATGACAACGTTTGCGATGGTTATTGGGGCCATCCCCTTGGCATTAGCGGCAGGTGCTGGTGCAGAAAGCCGCCAACAAATCGGTTGGGTGATCGTTGGAGGGATGACTTTTGGAACGCTCTTCACACTCTTTATTGTTCCGGCCTTTTATCTTCTTCTCAGCCGAGCTCGGAAAGAGCTATAGGATCTCTTTATGGAAGAGGCTCCAATTCCCTCTTTTAAAGTACCGCAGTTTTTTTGCCCTAAAAGGATTCGTTTGCATTATAAACGGGCACAGTACCTTAGGAAAAAAGCACCTCTAGACAATGCCTTTTCTGAAATTATAGAGGACGCAGAAGAAATTATTGTTTCCCATATAACCCCTTTAAAACATGATTTTAAAACATGCCTTATTTTAGGACCTTGGGCTCAGGGCTTAATCTCTAGGTTAGAAAAAAAATTTCCTTCTGCATGTATTTTTCCTGGGTGCTTTGAGGGAGATCCATTAGAAAGAAGCAAAAATTTTATACAAATGAGCGAAGAGGCTTTTCCTTTTAAAGCTCAGCCTTTCGATCTTATCGTTTCTATAGGGACGTTCCACACGATCAATGATTTGCCTGGCACCCTATTGCAAGCCCGTCAATGTTTGAAGCCTGACGGTCTATTTGTGGCCTCTTTTATTGGGGGAGACAGTTTAAGTAACCTTCGACATGCTTTGTATGAAGTGGAAAACAAGTATTACAAAAGGGCGACAGCCCGTATCCACCCGTTCATTAACCCCTCTATGGGAACAGCCCTCCTCCAAAGGGCGGGGTTTTCCGTGCCTCTTGTCACTCAGGATAGAAAAAGAATTGTTTTTAAGGATATCTTTCAGATGATTCATGCTCTACGAACTTGTGGCGAAACTTCTACACTAAAAGGTGATCTGCCTTACGTCTCTCAGACCTTTTGGGAAGGGGTAAACAATACAATGATCCGAAATGAACAAAACCTAATCGAAGAAGATTTACATATCGTCACTCTTGCAGGCCGAGCCTTCCACCCCAACCAGCAAAAGACAATGAGGCAATTTTCAACCCTTTCTAAAATTCAGAAGCTTTGAATCCATCTTACTCTTTATGCCTTGACTATAAAGCGTTATAGAGAAAAAGTGTTTGAATATGTGGCTCCAAGAAAATGTATAGCACAAAAAAAATTGACAAATAATACAAAAAACTTCAACTAATAATGCAAACTAATAATAAGGAGTTTTATATGCGTTTTTCTTTTAAGCCACTTTTGATGGTAAGTACTTTAGTGGGGTCTTTTATCTCAGGTTCTGCTCAGGCCTCTGGCACTTTACCTTTTTCTTATAAGGATGTTGATGACGCGCGTCAAAATAGCACCACTCTAACCTATAAAGATAACCAATATACGGTTGAGGAATGTTATGGTGACCATTGTCAAGTTACATCAGAGGACTTTATCCCAAGTTGGATGATGTCTGGCTATGGAAATACCCTCACTATATTAGAGGATATGCACGATCCATGCCCAAACCACACGAATGGTAATTATGAAGTCGGCTGTGGTCCAAACAACCAAATGTGCCATGGGGAGACGATTTTTTCAGCAACACTAAAACTTTTTGTTCCTGAAGAAAGTGATGATTCTCCCACTGAGCTATCGATTGTTCCAACAACTGTATCGAATGATGAGATAGAGACTGTAGACGAAGTTTCTTCCATTGTTGTGGGTACACAACCGACTCCTAGCCAAGTAGTTGAGGTCACTATGGAAAATGTTTCAATGGGCTACAACTTGGGCAATGCACTAGAACTCATTCTTTTACATCCAGAAAAGAACGAAGCTCTTGAACTTGCGATTCTGGCGATTAAACGACAAATGAATTTGAATTCTAAAAAATTGAACAAATAATCGTTTCTAAAAAACGCTAACAATAATAGCCTGGGGGCTTTTGGAACAGACGTTCTAAGGGTCTCCAGGCTTTTTTTAATATGGGAAGAGCCAGGGAGAGGGCACCATAGAAGAATTTCCCATGGTATTTGGTGGGTGGCACCGAATACAAACTGCCCTTGCTTAATTCTTTAACATTCAGAGAAGAATTAAGAGGTAGGGCATCTCTAAGGCAAAATGCTATGATTTTAGACAAGGTGCATCAGCGTCTTCTCTAAAAAGGAAAGCGGATCACTAACACTGGGGAAAGAAAATGAGGAGAAACCTTCCCTAAATCAGGGGATTTCCACGAGGCAAGTTCTCTGATATCCAATGGTGGCTTCTTCGAGGGAAAGAATCAATAACGGTTTGGCTGTACCGGGAGCGATTGAAGGGTCAGATAGAGTCTCTGTTTAAAGAGTTTGAGGATCAACTGCGCTCTCAAGGGTATTTGGCCA